CAGTTTGTGGTCCCGTACTGTGTACAGCAACGCAGTGATCGGGGTATCATAAGGAATTGTTATAGCGTTAGATAAGATAAATCCAAAGAACGATTTCTTGTGGCAACACCAGTGCCAAGTTGGAGAAACAGGCAGGAATAACAGGTAAGGTGCTTCAGTGGTAATATTAAGGGAGTATATAAGCAACAGGAACCAGCCGGTAACCATCACGGGCTCACCGTAGCCCGTGCTACTTGCCCCGCTCCTGTGCCAGGTAAGTTACGGGCTCACCATAGTCCGTGCTACTTGGAACTTGTTCCGAGTAGCTGATTCTATAATAACAACAACAGCCAGTAACACTAAGTCCACTACGGGCTCACCATAGCCCGTACTACTTGCGCCGCTCCTGTGCCAGGTGAGTTACGGGCTCACCATAGCCCGTGCTACATGGACATTTCGTTCTGAGTAGCTAAATCTAAAACAACAGCAGAAGCAGCTAGTATCTCTACCACTTACGGGCTATTCATGCCCATGCCATCTCTTGGGTGGCTTAATCTTCATCAATCAATCAAATGAGTATCTGTGAGGGGGGGGGGGAGACATTAGATTGGCGAGATGTCACCAGCAGAGACCCACAGGGCTCTGTACTTGGACCCATCCTGTTTCTGATATATGTAAACGATCTTCCAGAGGGTATAGATTCATTCCTCTCAATGTTTACTGATGTAAAATTTTTGAGAAGAAAGACATGAAGATAGACAGAGACTAAGGACGACCTGGGGAAACTGGAGGAATGGTCTAGAAAATGGCCACTAAAGTTTAACGCAGGAAAGTGTAAAGTAATGAAATTAGGCGAAGGAAGCAGGCGAAGGAGGCTGAACACAAGATACCATCTGGGAGGTGAAATCCTGCAAGAGTCAAATAGAAAGATCTGGGGGTTGATATCACACCGAACCTGTCCCCAGAGGCCCACATCAAAAGGATATCATCGGCGGCATATGCTAGATTGGCCAACATAAGAACTATCTTTAGAAACTTTGGTAAGGAATCGTCCAGGACCTTGTATACCACTTATGTCAGACCAATCCTGGAGTATGCAGCTCCAGCCTGGAGTCCATACCTAGTTAAACACAAGACAAAGTTAGAAGAAGATTCAGACGTGACACCAGACTTGTCCCGGAACTGAGAGGTATGAGCTACGAGGAAATGCTACGGGAGCTAAACCTCACGTCCCTAGAATACAGAAGAGTAAGATATCCACCTACAAAATTCTCGAGGGAATTGACAGGTGGACAAAGGCAAACTATTTAGTATGGGTGGAACACAAACAGGGAACACAGGTGGAAACTTGGTTCCTAAATGCCACAGAGATATTAGAAGGATTTGTTTCAGTGTCATAGTAGTTAACAAATAGAATGCATTAGGCAGTGATGTGGTGGTTATCTTGAGGTTATCTCGAGATGATTTCGGGGCTTAGCGTCCTCCTTTCTGTTACACACTCCAAGGAAGCAGCCCGAAGAAGCTGTCTAACTCCCAGGTACTAATTCGCTGCTAGGTGAACAGGAGCATTAGGATGAAAAAAAACTCTGCCCATTTGTTTCCGCCTCCACCGGGAATCGAACCCTGAACCTCAGAACTATGAATCCCGAGCGCTGTCTACTCAGCTGTCAGGCCCCTGACAGCTGAGGGGCCTGACAGTGGAGGCAGACTCCATACACAGTTTCAAAAATAGATTTGATTTGGAGCCCAGTAGGCTCCAAAATCTCTACACCAGTTGATTGACAGTTGAGAGGCAGAGACCAAAGAGCCAGAGCTCAACCCCCGCAAGCACAACTAGGTGAGTACTGGCTAATATTCCCCCACCCCCCACCACAAAAATCTAGTCACTTGCCTGTTGAGGAGGAGAGGAAGACTGAGGGAGTGGGGAGACCTGATAACAGCGTCTCCAAGACGTGTTGTTGACACAGGGAATTAGTATCACTAATTACAAAGATGGCTAACTTCTCCCACATGAAATTAAAACAAAAAAAGAATGTTTTAACAACTCCGTAATAGCAGAGAGAATTGCAGGAAGCAGTCTAGACGAGCAATTCCAGTTAAGGGAACTTTTTAACACTGGGGACAAGCCTAGCTTCACACAGGAGGGAATATTTTAACACTGTGAACAAGCCTAGCTTCACACAGGAGGGAATATTTTAACACTGGGAACAAGCCTAGCTTCACACAGGAGGGAATATTTTAACACTGTGAACAAGCCTAGCTTCACACAGGAGGGAATATTTTAACACTGTGAACAAGCCTAGCTTCACACAGGAGGGAATATTTTAACACTGGGAACAAGCCTAGCTTCACACAGGAGGGAATATTTTAACACTGGGAACAAGCCTAGCTTCACACAGGAGGGAATATTTTAACACTGTGAACAAGCCTAGCTTCACACAGGAGGGAATATTTTAACACTGGGAACAAACCCAGCCTCACCCACAAATAGGGATAATACACATTTGATATCAACATGGAGTCCTCTTGGAGCACTTTTCAGCACGTGATCAACCACCATGTTAAAAAAAAATATTCCCCCGCGGGAGGACGGGTCTCCACGTGATCTTCACTGTAACTTAATATTTTGTTCTCGCGCGCGCACATTTTTTTCTTACATTCCTCAACCATGGAGATTAAAAACTGCACTTTTATCGTTTAATAAATCAAGTGTTCCTCGGCTATCAACAAATATTTACACCTTTTTCATGCATGCCAATAGCTTACCCAACAAATGTTACCCATCTCCTTAGATTTTACGTCTGTATGCCAACATTTTAAAATATGTATTAATAATATAAAGTTGATGATCATTATCATCCCCCCCCCCGAGATTATTAATGGCATTAATATAGTATTAGTTGGAGTAGTAATGCAACTTATGTCGATTTAAATTGAACAGAGAAGAGGATGAAGAAGCCGTTGGCAACACTCCCCACTCAACATGCCAGGCACATCTTTATGGTTTAGGTAAACACTTTCTCTCCCTTATCAAACTATTAACCAGAGCCAACTTCCCGGACGACACAACACAGGAAGTGACCCCAAAACACTAAATGACTAACATTTACTACGAAATAACAGACCCGCGCCAATTGTGGGGAAACGAGAACTGGAGTTGAAGACCTGAAGCAGCGTCAGATACCTATAATCTTCACGCTGATTCCATGTAATAATTATAATTTACGTCACATGCCAAGCCATTGCTGTAAATATTATCATATTTTAGGCTAAAAGCACGAAATTCACTTTTGCTCTCTCCCTCTCTCTCTCTCTACTTTCTCGCTTCTCTCTCTTGCTCCTTCATTCTCCCTCTCTCTACTTTCTCTCTTCTCTCTCCTCCTCTCTCTCGCTCCTTCTCTTCTCCTCTCTCCTCCTCTCTCTCGCTCCTTCTCTCTCCTCTCTCCTCCTCTCTCTCATGTCTCCTCTCTCTCTCTCTGGAGAAGGTGTGTGTATCTGAGGTGAGAATAGCAGGGGTGGTGAGGCAGGGAGGGAGGAGGCGGCACCAGCACACGTCTTTGGTGCTTGCTGGGGAAATGGTGATCATTATTATTAACTGGTGTGTGTGTGGGGGGGGGGGGGAGGGGGGCAGGGGTAGAGGTGGTGATTATTCCCAGGCGAGTGTTGGTATGCGGCCACCACAGTCACTCCCGTGACGACCCGGCCGCCGCGACTCGCTCTGTTGCCAAGTCTGCTTCCTACCCGTAGCCTCTTAACCGACCTAACGTGGGTATGGGATATATATACGGAGGTATATATGCCCCCTTCGCGGCGCATATACACAGACGGGAGACATCTCCCGTCACGCAGGGTGCAGTCGCACCTCCACAGATCTCCAGTATCAGCTCTTGATACTAGTAATGGCTCAAAAGGGCCACCACTTACGGGCTATTCATGCCCGTGCCACCTTTTGGGTGGCTTAATCTTCATCAATCAATCGTATATACATCACGGGAGACAACTCCCGTCACGCAGGGTGCAGCCGTACCTCTACAGATCTCCAGTATCATCTATTGATACTATTAATGGCTCAAAAGGGCCACCACTTACGGGCTATTCGTGCCCGTGCCACCTTTTGGGTGGCTTAATCTTCATCAATCAATCAATCGTATATACATAATTTACTTCAACTTGGGCGATGTTCTGGGCTAAAATATACTTGCTGGTTAATGAGGATGATACTGTGGTGGGCTTTAATAACCCTCCAGAGGTTGCTTGTCCTTAAGCCCAATTACTATAAACCAAAACCCAACTGGCCAGGCAAAGCAGCTAGGCGAGCAGCAGCGTCTAACAGCCTGGTTGACCCCAGACCACCAACCAGGTGACCGGGTCGCGAGGACATTGATCCTTAGAACCACCTGCCAACAACAACAACCACCCCCCTCTACCGAACACATGGCACCTATCAATAATTCATGCATGCTTATATTACATATATTATATTGAAATAAATAAAACACTAGAAAATAATAAAAAGTAGGGATGACAGGAGGAGGAAATATTAGTGTCCAGTGAGAATCCACGAGGTCTTCTCTGAATACTCTTTTATTCTCTTATTCGCGGCTATGGATCCCTACAATTGCACTATAGGCGGCACCCCTATTATATATTGTGTGGGAGCCCCACAAGGCTCCCCCCCCAGATGCTGCATATTGTCTTCTTCGAGGTCAAGGGTCCCTACAAACTCAACCAGAGGTGGTCCCCTCCATTTGTATATATATTATATTATATAATATATATATTATATAGTATATAAACATTGTAATGCTGCTCCAAACAAAAGTACACCATTCGTGTGTACAATAGTGCACAAAGGTACACCATTACATTTAAATAAATATTTAAATCTACAGAAATGTGGAAAATTGTAGTTAGTAATATGCAAGAGAAAACGATTCCACAGGGATTGTCCTGTTGAATGTGAAAAATAGTTAGTGAAAACAGGCAAAAATAAATAAAAGCAAATGGGTGTGTGAGTTTACCTTCTCATGGATGGTTCTTGTTAAGCGTATCGCACTGTCATTCTGAAATAAAAATCACGTATCAGATTTGTACACGAAAGTATTGAAGGGAGAGAGAACAGTTGCCGCAACACGCAGTCACAAATACATAAACGCAGATGATGTATATAATATATATATATTATATATATTATATATATATATATATATATATATATATATATATATATATATATATATATATAATTATATATATATATATTATATATATAATTATATATATATATATTATATATATAATTATATATATATATATTATATATATAATTATATATATATATATTATATATATATATATATATATATATATATATGTATATATCACTTTTAGGCGAGTTTGTATATTTAATGGCAATATGCACCGTCAGAGGACTATATTTAATGCAACTGACGATCGCAAAATTAATGGCACTATAATTATTTCCACAACAAATCAATTATGTATGTTTCCGTATACGAAAACGATTGATATATGCTGACGCCCAAGGGCGCCACAACACAAGAATAATCAGCTTTAATATACAAGAATAACACTGCACTTACTTTAAAAGCATTCGAACATGGCAATTATCATTCCCCCTTAAATACACACACCCACAAAACTGCTTCCACAAAGAAAGGAGGTTCCTCCATACACAAGAACCGGATTGTAATTGATATGTTGGCCTGCGGGTCGCTCCAAGCAACAGCCTTTTAGATCACGACAAGCCTGGCCCCAGGCCGGGCTTGGGGAGCACAAGAACCCATTCTAGTTAGACAATAGAAGTGCAGGATGCGAGCATATGGGAGGTGGGGCCCCTCCCCACACTTTCCACACCAGTACCACCTGTCCACTACCCTCCTACACACTATACTCAAACCTCGCCTATGAGTTATAGCCCCGGTCCTGTGCCAGGTAAGTCCACTACGGGCTCACCATAACCCGTGCTACTTGGAACTTTTTCTTCCGAGTAGCTGAATCTAAAACAACAACACGCCTCGGCTCGAATTCCTTTGATGATTTCCCAAACTACAGCTGTATTTGATCAATAATGTAACGCTTTGTACCTGTAACTGCCCATGACCTCTAACTCTACTACAAATATACAAATAAACGCTTCAAGTCACATTAACATCGTTAAGCTTTACATCTGGACAATTGTGTCATTTGGAAGAAGAAAATAAAGATTCATTTCAGAATTATAGTTTTAGGTGAAAATTTAACTGGTAGAAAATCCTTCAGGAAGGAGTGATAATTCAGTAAAATTTGCTTTTAGGCCTATTCAACCACTGGACGTTTCGTAAGGCTGCCACAATAGCTTATACTGACAAACCAACAAATATACTCAAGTCCTGAACATACTTCAGGATAGAGAATTATTTATCTAAATTGTCTAAACAATGTAATGAAGATTGATGGACTAAAAATACCTCCGTCCCCTAATTTCTAAACTGAACACTAATTATATCAGCAACAGCACCAACAAAACTTATCTAATAATTGAAAATGATCGCGAGTCTTCTGGTTAGGAAAGAACCTTTAGACGTAAATGACTTATGAACAGTTACCAAGAGCCAAAAACAGCCCAGAGAGCATTCATTAATGTCCTACATAAACACCACTGAACTATCACAGCTCACAGGACTCATCTACGTCTTGAGTTATGATAAGCCATCTTGCTTGGAGAAATGTGTGTGTGGGGGCTCTAATCAACATTTTCTTGGCTGATCCAACAGCGAGGCCCAGCATGCGTAAATTAACTAATTCAGCCACAAAATTTGTTTACTGAGAATTATATTATATATAAATGTAATAATTTCCTCTATAAATTAATGTAAATATAATCTAAAAATGTAAATCATTTAAAGAAAAATAAGTATAATATTTAGGGGTTTAAAGTTTATGTTCTGTGATAATTTGAAATACTTGTTTACTGAGAATTATATTATATATAAATGTAATAATTTCCTCTATAAATTAATGTAAATATAATCTAAAAATGTAAATCATTTAAAGAAAAATAAGTATAATATTTAGGGGTTTAAAGTTTATGTTCTGTGATAATATGAAACACTTGTTTACTGAGAATTATACTACTGTATATGTAATGTAGCCGTGTAAAATTTATGATTTATATTGTAATTTATTAAATAAAGATAAAAAAAATAAAAACAAGCAATCCTCAGAGCGAAGAGAGCTTTGAAGAGTCGGCAAGATGCGACATTCAACCCGTCCTTTTTATAGCACGTCGCATTTTGACGTATACTCTCCCTAAGGCCAAAAATTGACGTACTAGAAAATGGTAGCAACTCGCGAAATTTGCATCCTGTCCCGTTTTCTGTTTTGGGTCCTCTGGTAGGTTAGGATAAGGGCACTTTAGTACGACAGTTTCTTGACGTTGGGTAATCTTAGGAGGATGTGCTGGCGAATGATGCACAGGACAGAACTCAACGGAACCATAAACCATTCTTAAACAGGTACAACATGGCTACCAAGGAAGGAACAAAGAGCTCTACTTCACTGTTAGAAGTCACTGTTAGGTAAGTAGAGCCCAGCCTGTCACCGTTCACCACAGGTGGTATTATTTGTTGCCGCCGAAGGCGGCTAGTTTATTGTGCACCCCATACTCATCCTGTGAGCGGTAGCGCAAAAGCATTACAGAGGGCACAAAAGGTCTTTATCAGACCTCATCTTAGATTATTACATAAACAATTTCTTCAATCCTCCACACCTTACAGATACAATGTCAGCCAGTTACAGAGAAAGTGCTATTACAAGAGCTACATATTTACAGTAAGTCATCATACATTAATGGTAGGTCTTATCGCTAATACATAATAGTTTGGCCAATGGGGATATTATAGTCATAGGGGAGCTTCTGTTTATTATTAGTCCTCACAATACACTACTTGTTTCTGAATCTCATATGTCGTTCATCTACTGGAAGCAAAATGTGGGTACAGTGCAAGGATTTCAGGTAATTTATCCATGGTAATAAGATAGGTTGCCATATCACATGTGGTATGGTCCGTTTGGTCCGGTATGGTTACCATCTGCATACTGTCAAGCATCTCCTTCACTAGGCTGTCAACCGTTCACCCAGGAATAGCTAGAGATTGGCACAAGAGCCTTCTAGACTGTGTACCGCGTGCCGCCAGGAGAGGGAGGAACACGTCATTGAGTCAAATACCTTGATGGGTTTCTAAAACATGACATATACACAAAAGAAAACAGTAAGATGTAAATTGGAACTTTTTCTGGAATGAGCCAAGGTTCCCCAGACCATTAACCGGACAGAGTCAATGGTCTGGTCACCCAGACATACCTGTTTGATACCTGGTTGATGGGGTTCTGGGAGTTCTACTCCCCAAGCCCGACCCGAGGCCAGGCTTGACTTGTGATAATTTTTGTTCTCCAGGCTGTTGCTTGGAGCGGCCCGCAGGCCCACATATCCACCACAGCCCGGTTGGTCCGGCACTCCTTGAAGAAAAAACCCCTGCTCTTCAATGGTTCTATTCTGCATATTCTTCTACATCGTTCACTCCAGTACGTTGTTATTTTACCGTGTAGATTTGGGACCTGGCCCTCGAGTATTTTCCACGTGTATATTATTTGATCTCTCTCTCGTCTCCTTTCTAGTGAGTACATTTGGAGAGCTTTGCGACGATCCCAGTAATTTAGGTGCTTTATTGCGACTATGTATGCCGTATATGTTCTCTGTATTCCTTTTATTTCAGCAATCTCTTCTGCTCTGAAGGGGAAAGTGAGTACTGAGCAGTACTCAATACGGGACAACGCAAGTGACTTGAAGAGTGCAACCATTGTGATGGGATCCCTGGATTTGAAAGTTCTCGTAATCCATCCTATCATTTTTCTGGCCGACGCAATATTTGCTTGGTTATGTTCTCTAAACGTTAGGCCTCCCTGGTTAGGGGGCCTAGGTGACAGGGTCGTCACCTAGGCCTCCCTGGTTAGGGGGCCTAGGTGACAAGGTCGTCACCTAGGCCCCCATGGTTAGGGGGCCTAGGTGACAGGGTCGTCACCTAGGCCCCCCTGGTTAATGAATGGTCTGATTCCATAGACCCCCTGATTAATGGGCTGGTCTCGCAGGCCCCCCTGGTTAATGGTCTAGTCAACATGGCTGCATGCAGTCTAGCGTAAGGTATCACAGCCCAGTGGATCAGGTACCCTGCGGTTGTTTATCAAGTTTCCTCTTCAACGCAGAAAGAAGTCAACTGGTGTGTTGTGTGTGTGTGGAGCTGCATATCTTAGCGCCGAGTGTATTTGATAACACATCAAACCCACACTTTCAACCCGTCCTAATTAATACGTCGCAGTTTTAATGGAACCCATCCACCCGCTAAGAATGCGACGTATTTGTACAAATTAAAGCATTGTAATATCGACGTTTACGGTGCATCAGCCTTCCTTGGCTAGTGATTACTTGGGCTCGTAAGTTTCTGGTTAGGTAAAAAGGTTGTATTTTTTACGGAGTTGAGAGAACAGACTGACAATTGATCCAGACCTCAATAAACTTATTTCAATTTCAATTGACCCAAGACATGGCTAGGCGTCTCTACTGTTTTGGTTGTGTAAGAGTTCCTACTGGCTTTTAATGATATTTAAATGTGATATAACTACAGTGATATGAAGAGCAGCGTAGCCAAGCGCGTGCACCAACAGCACGTTCGCGCCATTTTATACTACGTAAAAATATAATGGTTTTCTCTAACCACAAAAAAACATTCGAATCAAAACAACCCACCCAACTTATCGTTGCCGATGGTCAGAAAATGTATATTTAATTTTTCCTATAAACCCGTTACTTTGACGGAATTTATGCTTTCACGCTTGAGCGCCGATGCTTTTAATATATTTCCACGAAGTCGTATCGTGGATTATACAAAACAGCCGCCAATCGTGCAACTATTGATCAAGACTTGCGGCAACAACCTATGACTTGCTAGCCACATTTGGAAGCATAAAAATCAAACTGATAAATTGACTTATAACATTCAGCAAG